GGCCTAACGTGCATTTAGTGTGCACTGAAGTGCCTCTTTTCTACTTTCTTTTTATTTCTTCTTTATTGAAACCCATGCATGAGAAAATTTTGACTACATGTACACAGATTTTTATGTAGATGCAGGCAGAAAAAAATACCAATGCTATAAATCAAATGTAGCTGTGCCTTAATAATTTTCAGAAAATCTATTTTCTGGCTTAGTCTTCTTTCTGCCCAGTGCCCCTGCTGAACACTAGTGATACTGGCACTCAGGCTCCCCTCCTTTTTCTTCTCCACTCAAGATCTCTCACACAGAAGTAGGAGAAAGTTGACAGTCCAAATATTTAGAAATCAGGGGAGGAAATCATGAAATTAAGTCATTAATGGGGCCTCACTGTAAAATTCTAAAGACAAGGGGGCTTTCCCAGAGACTTTTGATGCAGCAATATCCAAAAACTGAAATGCAGAGTTGAAATTTAACAAATTCCAGCAATGACCCTGGAGAGCAGAAAGTGTGGCCAGCTCTCACTGGGCAGTGGGCAGTCTGCCCCAGTTTATTCCCGATGATTCAGGAATTCATGGAGCAGAGCCAACAATAAAGCAGCACGCTGATAGGAGCGTGTAGGCAGGACCCCCAAGACCGGGTCCTTTCTTCTCTGGAACTCAGTGTTCAGCCAGCCCATAGTCATAGGAACACGGGTACAATGAAGTCAGAAAAGTAAAAACCACAGCAGGGTAGTGGTTGTAGGAATGGAACGAAAGCTGAATCATGCCACACCAGGAGCTGTCGCAATGGGGAAAACTGTGAGCCAAAGGGCCAGATTTCCTCTATCAGCAGCCACTGAGAGGGGGAAGGGAGGGAAACTCAGATTTCCCAGCAGTATGGCAGATCTTGGCACCCGCCTCGGTTCCCCTGCCGAACTTCCACAAATAAACATTCAAAGCAGAAGGGACAGATTTGCTTCTCAGCAAGATTTCAAAGCTGTGCACCAGAATTGAAGAGAAAACAGGAAGGATCACAGGGGGAGGAGGAGGCGGGAGGAGGAGGAGGGGCATGCATGCCTAGAGCCAAATCAGATGGGAAACCTCCCAATCCCTCACCTGAAACTGATGAAACTGATGTGCCATTTTTTTTATGAGGTGTGAACATTGCAGGTAGTACTGGCAGTAATGATACCCTGGGCCCAGCTCTTACCTTGGGTTTCAAGCTGGGGGCGTTAAGCCTGAAAAGCCCCCAGGCAGAGACATGCTCCTTCAAACTGTCCCATCAGAGGTGAAACCAAGAGGGGCTGAATCTCCTTGGAAAAATTCGGTTACCTGCTTTCTCCTTTTGTGTCCAGCACATCTAGGTCACAAGTCAGCTGTGTGTGTGCACATGCACGCACATGAGTGGGTGCATTCGTGTTTGAGGAGTTGGGTGGGTCTGCCCGAGTGTACCTATGTGGATGGGTGGGGAGTAAGGCCATGTGTCCAGCATTTGGATTTGAGGCCGACAACACTCCCTTCTGACCTCCAAGGGACAGAGGAAAAGCACAGCTGGTCCTAGGTGGTGCTGACCCCTCCCTCCTTTTTCCCGAGGCTCTACAGGCTTCCAGGCCTCAGGGGTCGCACCCCCACCCCACCCACGCCCCCTGCTCCTCACACAGTGCAGGAAGGTGCTGTCACAGTGGTTTACTGAGATTTCCTCCTCTTTCTTTGTTAATGAGAACTGACTTGGCATTTAATAAAATCATATTTATATACTGACTACGTGCACACAGAAACAGCCCAGAGCAGAGGGCCCGGCCCTCCCGCTGGGTGCAGCATGGCTGTGCGCCAACCAGCTGCAATAACAGCCTGGCCTAGAGGGCTGGCCGTGCTCCTCTTTGTCTGCATTGAGCCTCTTCAGGCTGGCCTCAGGCCCATTTTCCTCAAAACACAAGGAGGATGGGTACAGCATCAATAAAAGTAAAATCCCATCATAATGCCGGCAATTTCTTTTAAGTTATGTATCAGTAGTTTTTAAAAAATGTGTAGCGGCTCTCTCCATTTGCCCAATGGAACAGCACACTTCAAAGGCACCAGAGGACTAGATGGGCTTGTGTGCAGTCTTTTGGTCAGCTCTTTCCCCACAGAGAAGAAGCTAGAATAAGAGGCTGGCAAGTAGGGGCAGTCCTGGAAGCCACTGAGGTCACTGTCTTCCTGGGGTTCTTTCCTAGGCAAAATCTGGGTGCACTGAAGTTCTGCAGTTCTGTGGCTTGTTAAGGTCACAGGAGGGAGGAGCACTGCCGCAGCACCCTGGACTTAGAGGTGATTAGATGAGGGCTTTGAAGCCTTTGAGGCATTTGGGGTGCAATGATTACTGTGTTTGTCTACAGAAACTAGAATTGTAAATTAAACTCCTGTGTTCTAGGTCACTGATTCTCAACACTGGCTGGACTTTGGAATTATCTGGGAAGCTCTAAAGAAATACTGAAGTACAGGTTATGTCCTATTCCCACTGACTCATCGTCTCAGAGGATGGGGGCTGCATATGTACCACTTTTGTGGATGATTCAGCCTAGGAACAGCTGTTCTGGGGAGCAGGTGTTCTTGATCTTGGTTTTTCTAAGCTTTATTGCTGTGGACTGGCTTGTTTGCTGATCTCTGACCTTACTGTGGAGACTTGGCCTCACCACAGCACCTAACCCTACCGGGTGCTGCTGCAGTTGTGAGCACATGGACACATGCACAGAGGTGGTGAGCCAGCACCCAGTACCTGGCTGAGGTCAGAGAGGGCACCTGGCCAAGTAAACCCCTGGTTTCGGAGCTGAGTACTTGCCAAGGCAGCATGTAAGGGCAGAAGGAAAGTCTTTCTGGTCTTTCTTGTCTGCAAAGTAAACATATAAATCCAATGGCCTGAGGCTGGAGTCTGCAATAATTCAGATTTTGAGTATTAAAACTGGCCTGGTCCCAAACTTGGTGCTATTGGGAGGTAGTAGAACCTTCAAGAAATAGGGCCTTGTGAGAGGCCTTTCCATTGAGGCATGCCTTTGAAGGGGATCATGGGACCCTAGCCTCTTCCTTTTACTCTCTTTTGCTTACTAGCCATGTGATGAGTGATTTTGTCCCACCACATGCTCCCACCATGCTCGGCTGCTTTACCCTGGCCCCCAAAATTATGCGGCCAATTGAATATGAACTGGAGCCTCCAAAACTATGAGCCAGCTGGGCATGGTAGCCCACGCCTGTAATCCCAGCACTCAGGAGGCTGAGGCAGGAGGATTGTTGCGAGTTCGAGGCCAGCCTGGGCTACAAAGTGAGCTCAAGGACAGCCTGAACTGCATAGCGAGACCCTGTCTCAAAAAGACAAGACAAAACAACACAAAACAAAACTCTTGAGCCAAAATAACACTTTTTCTTTATAAGTTGATTGTCTCAGGTGTTTGTTATAGTAACCAAAAGTGGACTAACACAAAGTCACCAATGGAAAGCTTTGCTGCAATGCTCCCTTACTCTGCTATACCCAGGACTCTCTCCTAGAACTGACAGTAATGACCCAGGAGAAAAATTTAACTATAGCACACAGTGGCCAAGGTACGTCAAGAAGAGAAGCATGGCTCTGTTCCCTTCTTAGTGACAAGAACAGTGCAGAGTTCTTGTGCCTAGGGAGAACAGGTACTGCCCACATAGGGGAAATGGATCTCCTTCATTCTGCCCTAAAGGAGCAGGGAATCCCAGAGGCTCGGAGACACAACACTGTGCTCTTGGCTGTGTTGGAGCATAGCTGCCCTGAATAAGGCATCTTTGTCATCTTACTCTTCTGTTTAACTCTGAAACAAACCAAGGAATGTGTCTAAATTTGGGCTCCTTTTAAAACTTTGGACAGAGATGTTTGGACCGCACGCCTTTTTATTCTCCTCAGCGTGGGAAGTCTGGAGTCCTTTTCTGGGGCCCTGGACTCTCAGCGGTGGTGGCACCCCAGGTCCTGACCCTTCTTACCCACTTTGGAGGCCCACCCAGATGAGCTGGGGAAATTGGAGAGGAACTTCCAAGGGAAAGTCACAGTTTGAAAGGAAGTCAGAGTGAACTCTGGCAGAAACTGTGGGGTCTTGTTTTATTTTTAAAAGCCTTAACGACAAGCGGACAATGGGTTTTCTGGGATTTGAGAGAATACCATAACTGTAGACAAAATACACATTTCCTAAATCAATTCTTAGTGATTGACATTCCTCCCAAAACAGTTCTAGAAATTAAAATGTAGGCAAAAGAAATAAAAAGCATAATTTGGTGCTAGAAATACTATCTGCATGATATCACCTTCTCCAAAGGACTCTGAGTGTCGCTGAAAGCGCGGTCAAGGTGACCTCTCCCGAGGTAACAGGAGAGTTCTCCTGTACCAGGCTCAGGGATAGGGACACAGGACTTGCATCTTGTACCTGCCTCTCTGATGGTTTTCATGCGCCCTGCAGTCTGACAATCTCTGTGCTACACCTGCTGTGTGTAATTCCTCTCATTTTACTTGTCTGGCGAAAGAAGAGATATCATCACCTAAGGATTCTGTCTGGAGGTGCTTCTAGAACAGGTTGAGCTAGATCCAGGGTTTCCAAAGTTTTGAGACTGAAATTTTCTTTTTTTTTTCTCTAGAAACAATAACTTTTGAGGTCAAGACCAGACCCAGAGGAAGAAGCATGAAATCTTCAGTCACTGGAATTTATTAAATACTTTATATATATATGTGCACTTTTGTTTTTCTATCACTCTATCTAAAGTACTATGTTTATTGTATGGACGAATAAGAGGGCCAGGAAAAGCTCTATATCTTGCTTAAAACCACTGATCAGGGATATGAGAGGGCAGGAATCAAGCCAGGCCTCCTCCTTCCTTAACCATACACTGCTAGAGGCATGGAGAGCACTTACCCCACATTTGGAGCGGACACACATCTGCCACAAGTGCATACCTAATTGAGGATCCTCATAGTGACTCCTGGATCCCTGCCCCAGGCCCACCTGTCTCAAGATCACTTTCAAGGGGGGAACACCTAGACCCTTTCCTTACCACACGGAAGAGCTTGAAGAAGTCCACGTTGGCATACAGAGTGTCTTCCATCCACTGTAGGGTGCCCTGGGAAAGGGAACATAGGGCATCACGCACAATATTCCCCCCACGTCGTTGGCTGAAAATGATGAAACGTTCCAAGAGAGCCTCGCTGCAGGCAATGTCCTTCAGCGCCAGGTCTGGGACTCCATGAGCAAACTGTAGGGAGGAGAAGCCACACTTGAACACTCCTGTGTTTGGGAAAAACTGTATCCCCCTCCCCGCAAAGATGCCTACATCATAACCCACAGGACCTGTGAATACAGTGCATTCCATGGTGAAGGAAATTAAGATCACAGATGGATTAAGGGTGCCAATGAGCTGATTTCAGATAAGAAGATCCTTTTGAGTTATCTGGGTGGGCCCAGTGCAACCATGAGGATCCTTGCGACTGCAAGGAGGAAGAAGAAACAGAATTAGAGTAATGTGATGTGGGAAAGGCTTGATGTGCCACTGCTGGTCTTGCAGGTGGACGGAGACCACTCACTAAAGATCACTGGACAGTCTTTCCAGAAGCTGGAAAAGTTGAGAAGATACATTTCTTTAACCACCCCAGTAAGGAAGGCAGCTGCTGGCACCTTGACTTTCAGGTTTCTGACCTCCAGAATCTCAAGGTAACAAATCCATATTGTTAGAAGCCACTAAGTTTGTGGTGACTTGTTACAGTGGCAACAGGAAACTGTAACACTCCCACGCCTCACTGCGTCAGGGAGCCTTTTAAATGTGAGAGATCATCTTCTCTGCACACGACCCACGGTAGAGTCAGGACCTCTTCGCGGCTGGGTAAAGGAATGAAGGGACACACTTGTAGTGATGACAAGTGACTAACCTCTGCTTTTGGTCTTGCCAGATTCAGTGCATAAAAATACCAGTGGTCCAGTTAAATCGGAATTTCAGATAAATAATGATCAATATTTTTTAATATAAGTATTTCCCAAGAAGGGTCTAAGTGTGACATAATTATGCTAGAAATTGTCGTTTAGCTGAAATTTGGATTTAACTAGGCATCCTGTATTTTACCTACAACCCTAAGGCCTGGATAGTCCTCCTGGAGGACTCACGGACAGTGACTCTGATGCACCATGCCCATGGCGACTTCCAGAGGTTAAGGAGACAAGAAGGCTAGCAACCCTAGTCAGGGGTCTTGGCTGCCTGGCTTCCTGATGTCCCAGACTTCCCATAGAGGTGAGACCTGTGTACCAGGAGAACGTTCGTGAGATTATCTGGGCACTGCAGACTTCATGTAGCTTCCGGTTATACAGGTTTCTGGGCTGGGAGCAGAGCAGGCCCAGGCTGTGCCTGTGTGGAAACTGTTTCCATCAGATGGAAAAGCCTGGTCCCCGCGTGAGGCACGGACCACAGCTAGCAACAGCTCAGCTATGGCTTCTTCCATCCCAGCGCCCTGTATCTATCTAGGTGTGTGATCACGTAAAGCCTCCCTGTTTTCCCACACCTCACTTCTTATCCCCCGTCTCTAATCCCAGAGTTGGGAACACTTGAGGTGGAGAGAATCGATAAGCTCATTTTGTCCAAGCCTCTTAGATTCCAGAGGAGGGAAGTGGCGGGGGAGGGGTCACTTGGGAAACTTCCACAGCTGGCTTGTGGGACACCACGGAAGGTCCCACTCACTCACTCTCAAGGCCAGTTCACTGACTTTTCCTTGTGTGGGGTCCGGGACAGGAACTGGGGAACAGAGATGGATAGCTAGTGAAAGTAGTTCGCGCTTACTGTTTAGTGTGTCAGACACCATTCTAAATACTTCATATGCATTAATTCTTTTAACCCCCACATCCACTGTACATGGTTTACACTGTATTCTTCCCACAGGTGTGGAGTGGTTCACTAATTTGCCTGAGGTCACACTCGTGTGTGGTCGTGCTGAGATCAGAACTCAGAGCTTAGTCACTCCTTGTCAGCTCTTTGGCGAGGAAGGAAGAGAGAAGGAGTGGGACAAAGAAAGGCGGTTTATGAGTGTTTTACTAAGAAGGCAGCATTTGATCTGGGCCTTGAAGTATGTTTAGGAGTTTCCAGGGTGATGAGCCAGGGAGCTGTAGTACTTTCATCCTCCAATAATTCCCTGGATGGAGTGAGGGGTGACAAGACTGCCTTTGGAGTTGTGCTCAGAGGCCAAGCAGAGAGGGCCAGGAGGAACATCCTTTTCTGAACACAAACTCCCCGATAACGAGGATGGTCATTTGTGCAGCTGCAAGCTACCACGGGGCGCAAAAGAGTGGCTATTGCCATTGTGGCTGAAAGTGCTGGTTCACGCACTGATGAGTCAGAGCCAGATGGTGGCTGAGGTCAAGACTGGGAGTGAGAAGACAGGCGGAGAAGCGAGGTGGGCGGGAGGTGCAGAGGGGTTGGTGTGAACAACCTCTGCAAAGTACAGGAGGCCCCTGGGTCCTGCTACTTAGCTACTCAGCAGGGACACTTGGACACTCCATGGAGGCGTAGTCTAATGGCCCCAACCCCTTGTGCTCCCCATGAAGGGCCTCATGCCTGCTGCCAGAAGCACAGCAACTAGAGCTCCAACGGTCGTATCAGTAGGAACTCAAAAGAAATTTCCCCTAAATTCCTGCGCTTATCTCCAGCTTCCTTTTATTGCGAACTGGAAATCATCGCAAGCATTGCCAGGACTGGCATGTTATGAGCTGAAGAGAAAGTGAAGGGGAAAACGAGCAGTTGGTGTTTTGAGCACTTCTCCTTGGGTGGGGGTGTGAGAGAAGCTGGGAGGTGCCAGGAGCCAGGCCGGCCACCCCACGCCTGGCCAGGAGCCTAACCTCGGTTTCCCTCATCCCGTTTTGGTGACCACCTCAGTCTGAGCAGTCAGAAAAGCAAGCATGGGCTCCCTCACTGTGATGTGGGGAGGCAGCATGAAAGCGCCTCCACGGAACTAGGCACCTCCATGTGGAGCGAGGTCCCCCACTTGGTCTATGCAAGGACAGCACCCTGTGCAGCTCTTTGGCTCAGGGCTGATAGCCCCGAATGTCTTTCTTTGTGCCTTGGTCTCCCCACTTGGCGGGAGTGGGTGCAGACCTGGCCAGGGCGGGAGTCCGGAGGGAGTGAGTCCTTAGCCACTGCCTATCTTGCATTCTCCGTGTTCCTCATACTAAAAACCCACACACCCAGGAGCCCTGTTCACAGAATTCCGGACTTAGCCCACCTGGGGTGAGGCTTGGAAACTTGCATTTCTAAAAAGTGCGCGGATGTTGCTGATGCGGCTGGTCTCCAGGCTTTGAGGACAATTGGACTACAGTAAGAAATGTGGGAATGGTAATGAGAAGACCTAGATTCTACTCTGGCTATGACAATTTCTTTCCATATTTGTGTGCAAATCATGCCATCACTAGACACCTCACCTTGGGATCACTGTGAGGGACAAAGGAGCTGGTGGATGGGAAGGTCATGTGTGTGTGATGAAGGTGCTCTGTGTAAATATGGAAATTATTAAAATGGATGAAACAGACTTGGAGAGAGACAGGTTAGAAATGCTGCAGGAACATAGAAGAAGGAGTTCGCCTGGCACCAAGAAGAAAGTGGTTCAATACAGAGGAAGCTGGTTCCTCTCTCGCCATTATCAGACTTGATAACCTCAGGAGGTGACCTTAGCACATGCAGAGACTGCACTGCTAGGTTTTGGCACAAGCCAGTTTTTGGCCAGAGCCAGTTTTGCCAGAGCTGTCCTGCGTTGTCTTCGTGGCTGCTTTCTCTTCAGTGAGGGCTGATCAAATAAGCTCTCAGGGAGTCCTTCCCTGATCATTCCCCGTAAACTGTCCTCGACGCACACCTCTTCTGTTCCCCCACCAACAGTTCCTGACAACTGGAAACAGCCCCACTGGAATGTGAACTCTCTGAGGCAGGGTCCCTGCCAGGCTTGTTCACACTATTCTTGTACCTGCAGCTATCCCCAAGCATTTGACTAGTAAATGAATAGCTCTTGACTGCTTCAGCCCTAAAGGAGAGCTTGAGCCGTATCATCACTCAGCTCCTTCCAGTAACAAAACTTAAAATGTTTTCAGTGTTGCCAGGATCGGTGTGCCTCAAAGTGCTGCGACAGGAATGTTCATAGTCTCAGCGGGCCCCAGGTACTTTTCTAAATCTGGGGCATGACTCAGGGATTCTTAACATGAGTATAAGAAGAAAAGAGAAAAGCCAAGATCTTTGCCTTTCTCAAGTTCAGTGCTTACCCCACCCCTCCAGGGACCACTGGCCAATGACACCACCTACCTGCTCCACCCGGACTTGGGAGCTGACCAGAAGGTGGGCCACTGAGTTGGACAGGCCAATGTTTCTCATGAGAAATAGCGTCAGTGTCTCTTCATCTTTTAGGATATCCCGAATTTGTATTCCTCTTCCTACGTATGAATGAGAAGAATGGGGTGTGGAAGGAAAGACAGGTTAAGAAAAGGAAAGCAACTGGAATTGACTAGAAACATTTTAAGCTTAATTTCCAAAGGAGGCTCTGTTCTGGGGTTGCCTGGGAGCACCTGGAGGTCAGGTGCCAGTAGCTGTCACTGACACTGCCCAGCACTTGCTCCTGAAGCAGGTAGGCACAGAGGTGGCAAAGTTAGCCTAGGGAGGGTTAGGTGTCAGGTACTTTGCCGGGCTCATCTAGAATAGTGGCTGTCAGCAGGGTCTGGGTGGAGAGCTGCAGCCGGACAGTTTTGTACCTTGGGAATATCTGACAACATCTGGGGCTTTAGTTGTCACAACAGGGTGGAGGCCAGGGGTGCTGCTAAACACTGCACAATGCACAGGACAACTCTACCTCCCCAAATGAAGAATTATCTGGCCCCTAAATGCCAACGGTGCTGGCCTAGCTTTGGAAGAGATATATGCAGCCTGTCCACACTGCAGTTGTCAAAGGGGAGGGGACCCTTCTGGCATTTCTGTCATCTTAGCCCACTCTTCAAATCCGGGTACTGGCATGGACAAAAACAGGTGGGCCTACTGAGGGCAAGAAAAGTTTCAATGGAAAAAGCAGAGCCAGGCTTATTGCGTGGGCTTGTCCTGGTCATCTTCAGCCACAGTCTCTGTGGCTTCACTCAAAATCTGTTGGAAGCTGGGTGTGGTGGCACATGCGTGTAATTCCAGAACCCTGGGAGGCTGAGACAGGAGGATCCTAAGTTTGAAACCATTGTGAGCAACTTAGTGACTTAGTGAAATCCTGTCTCAAAATAAAACAGTTGTTGAGTATGTAGCTCAGTGTGAAGGCTCCAATACTGCCAAGCAAAACAAAACAGCTCTCTTCCCAACCGAACAACAGCAAAAGGAAAACCTGTTGGAGACAGAAATTCCTTTATAAGGAGACACCAAGGACTCCTGACCATTAAGGTGGCCATGCAGCTAGAGACTGAGCCTCTCTCAGCCTCCACACTTTCCTTGTCTACCTCACCAAAGTGTTAAGATGTAATAAGGAATAAGGAATGTGAAATGCTTCGCTTCCGGGCCTGAAAATAGCACTCAACAAATGCTCGTTCTAATGACATTGATGTGATTCCTGTCACTCCCAGGGGATGAGCTCTAGCACCCACCCTCTGTATCCTTCCCCTGCTGATGTTCAGCCTCAAACTAGCACTGTTGCTGCTCATGAGATGCTGACCAGGGAGGAGCTGGCTGGTCCAGACCTCTGCGAAACCATCTGAACCTGGAGGCAGAGCTCTGGCTAGGATAAAATGCCTACTCCACACCCCAAGCTCTGCGGGAGCCTGGTTAACTGTTGAGCCTCTAGCTCTTCACTAACTGGCTTGAATCGTTCAATGCCCTGCTCCTTCGTGGCTCCAACTCCACAGCAAACCATCCTCTCCCACCCTTACCTCCCCCTCCCCAGGCAGCCAGGATGACCTCCCACCCAAGTCCTTGATGGCCTTCCTTTCCATTTTCAGGTTGTGATTTTCCCTGTACGGCACTTTGTCCAGCTTGACACTGCTGACAATTTCCTCTGAAAGGAGTGTGGGTCAGCCTGGCAGGACTGCCTGCAAGCCAGAGGCCTCTCAGCTGGTAGCGCAGGATCACTGCTGTTTGTGCAGGAGCAGTTGGAGGCTCTGGGGGGACCTCAACGCAGCCCTTCAAGGGAGCAGGAGGCGTGGGAGGGGCTTCTCTCATTTTCAAAAGTGTAAATCTTTCCCTCTTCCAAACTGGGCTCCACTGCTTTCCTTTTCCTCTGGGGCAAAACTCAGTCCTTCTTGACAGGCAGGGCTCACCTCTCTGTGGCAGCCAGCACTGGGGCCTGACACTGAATCATGGCCTCGCTGTTGAATGACACGAGGTCTTCTGTAGACACCTTTGATCCTAACCTGAGACTTGGACACCATTTGGCTGTTTATCTCATAGTTATTCTTTAACATACTCCGATGACCTTACACACACCGATCTGGCAGGGAGAAGGGATCAGACAGGGGAATGGGGAGTCTTTTTGCCCAGGCATCCTGCGATGTACCACGCAGGTGACTGGGCTGCTGGGGGGAGCAGTGAAGGGCAGGGCCCTGTGATTCAGTGCACACCTGTCAGGGGAGCTGGGGGCCCGAGGTGTAAGGGGCAGTGGCGATACCAGACAGTCTCTTCATTAGATTCCTGAGGGAGAAATGTGAACCGGGGCCTGAGGACCGAAAGGTACATTTTGTGTGAAATGCGGTTCTTCTTGTTCTCTTCCCTGGGAAGAGAAGAAGCTGGGGGTGGGGGCCAGGGAACTGAGAATGCGCGAGGCTGGCTCCTAGGGAGGGGGGTGTAAGGATGACTGAGAGACCACAGAACTGGCTTGGGGTGAGGGGAGGGGGCTCCCATCTGGTCTTTCACCGTTAATCCTCCCCTGCTGAGAATGTAGCACTACAGGTTTGCTGGAAAGGAAAATGCTGCCCGGGCCAGGCACTGCATACTTTCCCAGGTGACTGGAGCTGATGGGCAGAAGTACACAGTGGCCACGGCCGCCCACGAGCTTTCAAAGGCCCAGCTCTTTGCTCTTTGCTGTGCCTCGCAGGGGACTCCTGCACAGTCTCCAGAAGACTCTGTGGGCCTGACAGTGGGCTTCAGTTCCCGGTCTGCAATTCCTCCAAACACCGTGTCCTTGCCTTGAGGCTGGACCCCTGTCCCCTCGCACACCTTCAGGGTTGGGGATTCTGTATTCTCTGTTCCCAGCCTTTGAGGAGCCTCGCCTGGACTTCGCTGGCCCCTTGTTCCCAGAGCTGCTGTCCTTTGGGGAACTCTTCCCACAGCCTGCAGGTCTGCAGAAAGAAGCACTTGTAGGCCAATGCAATTAGTCTTGCTTTTGGATTAGGCAATAGTGATTTTGCTTCTCATTCAGACTTTGTACAAACCACAGAGAAACTGTGGTTTGGAATTATTTCCCCTACACTTCCTCTAGCCTCTAGCTCAATCTGATGATCAGATACGTAAATGAAAAGTCCTCCTCCTCATGGGTCCTGCCAAATGAAGGGGGAAACAGTCACTTTAGGAGCTGGATGGCCCGTGTCCAGTTCCTCTGCTTGTTTAACCTTGGAAAGAACACTCTCTGGTTGGTGCACCACTCCCACAGCCCTTTGTTTTCTTACTGTTAAAAATGCTAATTGTGCTCTTATTTTACATAGTCCTTCAAACTTGAGGTAACTAAAACAAACTCTTCTTTCCAGAGCACTAAAGAATGTACTGTTTGTAATCTGGTTTGTAGAAAAAGATTGCATAAAATACATGCTCTAGTATTTTTGAGATGATGAGACTATAATTGAATCATCCCAATGTGCCAGTCTGAACACATTCCTGTGCTTTCCTGCTCCCACTGGGGAAAAAGGCAGAAGGTGGCAAGATGGATGAGGATCAGATTCTCTTGGTAGTTTTTCCTCCTGACTCCGCTGCTTCCCTCCACCAAGCACCCTACACCGCAGGGTCATTGTTCCCACCTGATTCATCTCTCCCCTCCCAGAGAGGAGCGCAGTGCCTGGCTCACAGCAGGTGCCGATATCTGCTGAATCTCAAAGTGGTTGCACCACGTGCTGGGTGAGGAGGGCTTGATTTATTCTGCGCTCCTACTTTTCTTGTTTGGAACTCAAGGCAGAAGCTGTGGTATCCAGCTTCTCTTGTCTCTTCAGCAGAGCCCTTAGGGCTCCCTTTCCTCAGGCCTGTCATTCTCTAAGGTCATCCTTACAGTCACCTGGCCCACACTAGGGAGGCTGCATCTCTCCGCAGACACTGCGGCCTTCACAGCCTTTGAACCTCATTTCCTTGGGGATCTTTTCTGGGAGGGCTCTTTCCACCACCAAACTGCATGACCCTGGACTCTTGGGGATTTACTTCCTTACAGCCATTCATTTACCCGTCTCCAGGGGATTTGATTCCAGCTGCTGTGTGCAGCCCCTCCTGCCACTTGCTAGGGAGTCCGCTACGGACGGGCCATCCACACAACATCCACTCGCACTTTTACAAAGACATGCCGGTGTGTTACTCTTGTTGGCATTTGTTTGTTCTTTGTTTTTCTTCGGGGAGGAGAGACAGGGGAGGGAGGTCTCTCTCCCTCTCCCTCACTGCTCCTGACTCCAAGTGGCTCCTACCTGAGTACTCAGCTCCTGCCATCTTCTTGCCGAGCCCCACAGCTTAGCCTCCCATCCCTTCGCTTCTCCTTCACCTGTCCCTTCCCCTCTGCTCCAGCTCACCTTGGTGCTCTTGGAGACCTGTTCTCACCATCTGCCTGGCTGTCTTTAAATCCTAAATTTCAATATTTCGTTCTCTAACTACAGCCACCAATCCTTCTATCTTGCTCATTTTCTCATTCACTTAGGGTCATGGGACTTGTTGAGACCTCTGATCTCTGTCTCTCCATTTTCCCCTGCGTATCTTGGTACTTCTGCCTTCTTATACATCCTTTTGCAGCCTGGACCTGATGTACGTAGTACACTCACTGCCTTCAGTCCTCTTGCCCTCGCAGCCTTCGTGGTGCCTCCCTACAGGCCCCCACCCCTGCGTCTCCTAGCTCTCCTGCTCTGCCTCAGATGCTATTACTGGAAGGAATCCTGCGACTGTAAGTTTTATATCATGATAGATCTGTGTCCTCTGACCCCCACCGCTCCTCAGTGATACTTAGCATTGCTTCTGTGTTTCTGGTTAGCTCTTTCCCTGGGACTCTTCACTTTTACCATGCTCTGCAAACTCCTGGGCCTTGATCCGGCCAGGCACTCTCCAGAGTACCGTGTCTCTTAGCATTCTCCCTTCTGTCTCTTGACTCACGGGGGTGAGGCCGGTCCTGCTCTCCCGCCCAGCTTCCTCCCTATGAGGTTGGTGGCCCCACCAGGATGACCCTCCTGCTGCCTTTGCAGCCCATCCCTTCCAGCCTCCTCTAGGATCTTTTCCCACAGAATCTCCCTGTCCTTCCTGGATCATCAACCTCTCTGACCAGAGAGACTTGGGACAAGTGAAGAGTGAGAACATCGAAGCCCAGCTTACCCGCAGTTCTCTCAGGGCGAGTCCGCAGAGTGTCCACGAGATGGAACAAGGTGCGGAGGTCTGTCCAAATCTGGCCAAGCTGCTGGCTTTCTGGTGCATCTATGAGGAATTCTTTAAAATCTCGAAACACCTTTGCCAAGCTGTAAGAAAGAAAGCCACATCAACAAAAAGCTGTTGTTTTCATAGCATAATAATATATTTGCTGTTTTTAAAAATTGTGTGCTTGAATTACTGATGACATTACATATTTTATAGTACTACCACTGCAAAAAGAAACTTTTTAAAAACTTCTTTGCTCCTGTAGGACAGAGGTACTCATGTAGGTGCTCATGCAGGACATTTGTTCAATCCTAGTTTGGACCGGGCTGGATCACCTGTCAACCCCACACTGTGTCTCTGTCTGGAGAAGTCCATATAGGATGATGTTGGTAGGTATCCAAGGTTCTTCCCTGCCTCTGCCCAGTTCTGAAACCTACCATTCCACTCCTTCACAGGCGTAGGTTTGATATCCATACTTTATCCAGACCTTGCTGGCCTCGACAGGAAGGCTGAAGGAGCAGCTCCGGATGGCCCTCTGGCTCTGTCCCTGTCCTCCTGGGGCTGCCCCTGGAGAATGCTCAGCAGTGGCAAACCTACTGCATGCGTGGCGCAGAGGGCTGTTATCCCTGAAAGCTTTACAGGGCTTACACTTGTTGGAATGGGTTTCTGTGCCTTGCAAACAAAAACAACTTGAGCAAGCCAATATCTCACCCATAAGATGTATGTGACACATGAACCGTATTTCTGGCTCAGGTGCTGAGTGGAAGTAGAGTCTGGAGATCCCCTTCCCACTCCTGCCCTCACACTGCCAGTGCCAGTCCTGCTGCAGGTCTTTATAACCTCACTGATGTGTTTCCAAGGCTCCCTGATCCCACCGTGTGCCCCACGGAGTCTGCCTGGATGGGTAGATGGTTCTTGTCAGGAAACTCAAAGAGTCTCACAGTGTGGACTATGAACTAAAGCTTCAAGGTTATGTCTGCAGCAGTGAGAGCTCAGCTAAAATGTTACCTCTCTAACTTTCCAGGGAAGAACAGGGTTCCCTCTTCTATCTTCATTTAATGCAGGAATGTTTATCTCATGATGTTTATCAACAAACAGATAACGATCCCAGGATATTTATACAGACCATGCAGTCTCTGCCACAACTGCTCAACTCTGCCATTGTCTGGCAAAAGCAGTCATAATCTGTTCCTGGAGGGCACAGCCACCTTGGAACATTAGGCTGACCTACGAAAACTAAAAAAAAAATGCAAGTCTGTCATGGGAGAATTATATTTAGCTTCTCTTGAAAAAATGGAAGTCACCAAATATTTCACTTTCCATCTGACCCGGTGTTTATACGAATGTGGTAAACCTACTCCTCAGTGAACTTTTGTTGGCTCAGGGTCAGCACAGCAAGTGAAGGGTGGCTCTGCCTTTATCCCAGAGCCTCTGACTGTTGGACATGCTCACCTCATGCCCTCCCACTACTCAGAGGACATTCCACAGGTACACTCTTGCTATGGGGTTTGGCTTGAAATTCAACGTCAAGCCAGAGGTTACTAACCTGGAATACACAAGTTCCCTAAAATCACATGTACAATGCAAAGATGTGTGTGAGGGTCCATTTTTCTCAGGAGAAGGCTCGTCAGTTTTCATCAGCTTCTTGGAAGGGTCTTCAGCCCCACAGTTAAGAATCACTACTCTCAGGCCGTATTCCAAGATCTTGCCTCTCAAGGGCAACAATGGCAATTACAAAAGAGGATTTAGAATCCATCATTTTCTCCCAAGAAGTAAACTCCACCTTGTGAACTTGACTTAATTTATCCTCAGCATGCTCCCTGGTATTTTTCTTACCCTTAAGGTGGCCAAGGAAGCTTTTAAAGGAAGCGAGATTTGTCTGGGCTGATCAGTGAGAGGGTGAGGGAACTGAGTTTTCCTCACGCAGTGACTCCATCCAAGCAGATGGACGACATGCTGCAGCAGGGACTGCCGTCAGACTCAAGGTCACCCCTCCGGAATACAAGGACCAAGAAATCGCGCTCATGTGGACTTAGTTTGAGGCTTTCTGCTCAGGTGCCCTGCCTGTTAATAGAATGTACCTGAGATGAAGCCCTCTCTGCCCCTTCTCAGGGGCTTAGCAAGCCATGAAGACACTCTGACAGGGCCACGCACCGTGTGTGCCCGCACGCATGTGCACTGGCGTGCACGAGGAGGTTGAAAGGGTGTGCTACTCCCTCCCCGCGTGTGGGAAGCTCAGTACTTACATGGAGTTGTTATAGTTTGACACAATTCCAGGAGATTCTCCTGGGGTGGGGCTCTGAAAACAAGGATTGTTCATGTTGCAGAAAATCCCTTGGAGCCACGGCAACACTCCCGCAGAGGGCATGGCCTTGTTAGGAAAATGGCCTTTAAAACAGGAAGACAAGAGGGAATTAGTCACTAGACCAAGCAGGGCACAGGCCCTGGGAGTGGGGTCGTCCTCAGGAATTCATTTTTCAGAATATCAGCCTCCAATGTGGAGCAGGCAAATGTCCTCACAGAGGCAGGCACAGAAGTGCAGAGAGGTGGCCGCTCATTTCGAGGTAAAGGTGCAGTGGGTTGCGAGGCGAAGCTCTGGGAGGATGCTGATGCTTGAGGAAAAGAGGTCCTGGCTTCCCTTGGACCCGTGTGCATTGTACCTGCCCCCAAATGCAGCATGACTGTGGGATAGGAGTTCCTGGGGGCGGTGTTTGCTGGATGGGAGGTTGACCGAGAAATGGAAGCTGGAAGCCACGGCCAAGAGAGTGAAGTCCAATCACAGGGGTCAGAGCAACTTTCATAACCCTCCAGGCCTCCATGGCAGCTGCCTAGATGGGCTAGACACCATCCTGCCTGCCGGAAGGTGCAGGCTTTCCAAGAAGGCTGTAGCTCCAAGAGCTATTGCAAGGCTTGTCATGGGTCCCCAGAGGCCTCCAGGAGCTAAGAGACAGTCTCTTATGAGGTAAGGTTGTATATCCTTCATTCTCCTATTTTCCTCAAGTACCACATGTTCCCTAAATCAGTCTCACTTTATTGAAAAACAGAACTAGATTGATTTATTTCAGAGAAATCATCTATAATCTGTTCTGCTTAAAAAGGGTGAGAGTTCAGGTATAAACAAACAAAAACCCTCAAAAAGAAAACAAAAACCAATTGCGTATTCCTTCAGCACCACATGTAAGTATTAGGATATGTGGGATTAAACATTAGCTTTTGTGTAATGCTGATGAATCTCTTTCACACACTGTAGCCATGAAATGACGACAAAGCGGATCCAGTCCCTGCACCCCACCCCAAGGCCTTCCTTTGGAAGGGACTGGCAGTGTCTGCTGGGCTCGGCCAGGCTCCCCCATGCTCACATTCATGCTGGCTGTAGAGTGGGTTGGCATTCCTTAGCCAGATCAAGACCAGAAACAAAGATAAAGGCCACAGGAGTTCCACCACAAAGCGAATCTGGAGAAACAAAACAAAAAGAGAAGGACCAGTGACGCTAGGCGATGATAGTAGGAGGCGGAGCCGGAGCAGACACACCTCCCCCTGCGCTGCCTGGGCCGGGTGGTGCTGTCATCATGTGCTGCTGCATAGCATTTTCATCAGCGGTGAAATATGCCACATATGTCATTGTGGTTCCACTGATTATAGCGGAGCTGCAAAGTCCTGTTAACGCTGTTGTGACACTGTGGCATAATCCATTACTCATACTTTTGTGGTGATGCTGGTGTAAATTGACCAACTGTGCTGCATAAAAGTGTAGCATGTAAAATTATTTGCAGTGCATCATATTTGATAATGACAATAAGTGTCTGACACTGGTTTATGTATTTACGGTATTATACTTTTTTATTAGCACATGTTTCTAGTACATAATGTTTATATTTCTTTGGGGCATTGGTACATGTACATAATATATCTTAATATCTTTTTTCATCCCCTTGTTCCCTCATGCCCATCTCTTGATCCCCTTCCTTCTTGTTTTTGTGCATGTTTGCAGTACCTACTGTTTAAGTTCCTCGTGTGGAGTTAGTACATATACATTACACATTTTAATTCCTCTCATTCTGCCCTATCCTTTCCTTCCTTCTCCTCTCCCCCATCTCTCTCTCTCTCTGTCTTTTTTTCAGGGGGTGGGAGACAGGTTCTCACTGTGCAGTTCAGGCTGGCTTTGAACTCACTAGGTAGCCCCAGGCTGGCCTCAGGCAACCCTCCTGCCTCAGCCTCCTGAGTGCTGGGATTATAGGCATGCATACCACACCCAACCTCCCTGCATTTCTTGATCTCTTTCTCCTTTGAGAAAACTCCATCTCCCTACTTTGTATTAGCTATGTTTTATTTTGTTCTTAATTTATATTTTGGGTTTCTCATATAACAGAAATCATGTGGTATTTAAACTGTGTGTCTGATTTATTTTGCTTAACATTATAGTCTCTTTTTTGGCAGGGGGATACCAGGAATTGCACTCAGGACCTCGCACTTGCCAGGCAGGTGCCGCAACACTGAGCTTAATCCCCAGCAACATTATAGTCTTAAGGTGCTTCCATTTTCCTGCAAACAACTCAAATTTATCTTTCTTTGTGGCACAGTAGTACTTCATTGTATGTGAAACCACATTTTCTGTATCTGTTCATCCGCTAATAGACATACAGACTGCTTCCAGGGTTTATCTGATGTGAGCTGTGCTGCTAAAAACATGGGCGTGCCTGTACTGGTATAATAAGACGTCTTTAAGTCTTTCAGGAAGACACCTAGAAGGGGGATAGCTGGGTCAGAAGGAATTTCTAGTTTTTGAGGAATCTCCATACTGATTTCCGTAGTGGTTGCTGTATTATGCTTTTAATCGTGATGTGAGAGTGTACACCTACTTACAAAACTCAAGTTTAATTGCAGCCCAGTGTGCACTCTTACCCCAGGAGCAGCCTTGCACATCTCATTCCTCCCATGTCGCTTGATCACATCATTTTCTATTGTGTCATTTTGTTCTTCGTGGCTCTAAGGGCAACAGGCTATGCACCCCGCTTTGGTGTGGCACATGTGCACATGTGCACGCACACACAGGGAGTGCTTGAAAAATATAGTGACTGTTTAAATTTTTAAAAACATTACATTAAAAGACATATTGTCAAGAATAATGGGATACATGTGTTCAAAGCCAGGGAGAGTATTTTAAATAATTTGAGAATAATGGCAATATGTCTTCTAATTTTTAAAAATTTAAACATTCACCATATCTTTTGCGCATAACACACACACACACACACACACACACACACACACACACACACACAGCATATAGCCATAAAGCCTAGGGACTTAGAAGGTTATATCACTTAGATTTGCTTTAGGTAGATTCTCTGATGTTCACACAATGACAAAACCACCTAACAAGGCATTTCCTGAAACATGTCCCATTGTTAAACAATGCATGTCTGTATTTATCTAAAGAACTTCCTTCTTTGCACCCCTCACTCCGATTTTTTATACTAACTGCATTTTTGGCCATTTCAATTCTACACTGCCTCTATTTTAGAAAGCAGAATTAACACAAGACAGCCATAGGCATCGTAGAGATTATGGGCTTTGGTGCTCTGCAGATGTTATTGTGCACATAAATGCAGATTCTGATTCAGGAGGGCCCCACTAGGCCATGTGTGCCTAACAAGTTCTTAGGTAAAGTTGCTGCTGCAGATAATAAAGGTCTTGTAGCCTTTCATTCTGCAGATGTGGAAAGAGACAAAAGGCAAGTGATCTGTGCAGTGTCACATCAGCTGTGAAAGAACAAGAAGCGAAACAGCCTTCTACCTCTCGGACGAGTACTCTTTCTGTCCCTGCCCATGAACTTGGCTTCTAGTGCATGATGGAACTTTTGTGTGGCCGGTAAATGAATGAGTGAATGAGTGAATAAACCACTGTGAGCAAACGACTCTGTGAAAAGCTGTGACCCACAGCAAAGTCATAGAAATCTAGTTTTCCAACATTTTCCCCACTAACATTTCTGTTGCTTATAGAAAATAGGGCAAGGCTGGGCGTAGTGGCACACACCTGTAATCCCAGGCCTTCGGAGGCTGAGGCAGGAGGATTGCTGCAAGTTCAAGGCTAGCCTGGGCCACAAAGTGAGTTTAAGGCCAGCCTGAACTCTATAGTGAAACTCTGACTCAAAAAGACCAAAAAAAAGAAAAAGGCAGAGCACACTGTCATGGGTTTTTATCCTGGAAGAGGCCTCTGAAATGAACACATGGTAGAAAGTTGCTATTTACATTCAGGCAAAATTTAGAGTTTAAGGATTCCTGATTCCAAAAGAAAAGCCAGTTGATTGTTGAAGATCACACTCTGTGGCACTGCACACTAGAGTGAGGGTTGGAGGAAAGGAATTACAGAGGGAAATAAGGACAGGGGAACATGAATTAGGAAACAGAGTAGTTCTACTTACACCCTTCTCCAGAGACCTTAGAAAAGAAACACATTAGCTCCAAAGGAGAACTTGAGCAACTGGAGAGGAATAGAGATTTAAGTGGATACAGAAGAGTTAGGGACCTTATCTGTAGGGCCTTTTATTTAACCCTTTGTTGTTTTTCTTTCAAAGAAATGCAGATAAGCTCTCAACCACATGGTGGGCAACATAGAATAAATTCAGTGTTTGTTCCTTTCTTGCTAGTAAGGATAAATTGTGTTCTGCTGGATTTTTTTTTTTCTTTTTAAAATTATCTTCTGGAAACCAAATATAACAAATCAGAAAATAAATTGGTGGGATGAAATGGACCATGCATTGAAGAAAAAGTAAAAAATGTTTAGGGGTAGGTGGTGATATGCAGTTGTAACTTTTTACAAATGTTTTATTCAAAATGTGTCTAATGAGCATGTGTTAGAGGAATCACAGACACAAACACAGGTAGAAGAAAGGACAGATCTTCCTTCAGGTGCTCATTTTTCAGGGCTCCCTCTATACCTCTTCCTATAAGGTGGCAAAGCGCCAGTATTGGGCTATTCCCACCTAGTGTTAGGGGACCAACCCAAACCATACTTAGGAGCTACTGGAGTGTTGCTGGTGCTGCTATGGCCTGCAATTCAATTCAGCCCAGCTGGGGCTCTTCCCCAGCTAGCCCTATTTCCCTATTAACATCCTGGTCTCTAAACCATGAAGCAACTGCCCACCAGCAGCCTGTATTTCTCTGTCCTGTCACTCCTGCTTCAAGGTCATGACTCCTTCAAGTAAGTAGAGACTTCCTGGGCTGGGTGCTTCCTGAGCTTCCCCATCTGTCCTCCACTGTGGTTCTAGCACCTGAGGCAGGGCTCATAACAGGTTCCCAACAAATATTTGTGGAATGAGTGAGACTTTGTCAAAACCAGTCTAGAAGGTTTGTCCAGAAAAACTGGAAGTAACACAGGGGCTTAGGATCTCAACAGTCTGCAAATTTAACAACTACAACCTAAAATGCATGGACAGTGACTTCTTGCATTCCATTCTGGATCCTCCATTCAGTGGGCAAATTAGGGAACAGGTTCAGCAAGATAGCAATGTGAGTGACAGGGGCAAGTGATGAAACCGAAGTTATTCACAGTGTCTTCACCTAAGAAATGAGACAACCAGTCCAGAGTCTTCCCATCTGATTCCTCCTAAGACAATTGCTTGCAGTGTTGGCTTTCTACCAAGTGAATTGGCTGGCTTCTCTGCAGCACTGTCTATCTGAGGGTGTTCAGGTATGTTAAACACTGATGCAGATTTGGGACTGTAAGAATCTGGATTACAACCATTTTCAGGCTTGTTTAACCTCTAAGTCTGTTTTTTTTTGTTGTTGTTGTTTTTTTATCTATGAAATGGTGCTATTTTGTTCTGCTGTGGACACTGAGGGTGAAGAGCAGATCACTCTGGGGCCATGTACTGGGGTTCTTTATAACCTGCTTTTCTCAGCATGACCTTGTGCAACCTGCTCAACCTCTTTGTGCTTCAGGGCCATCTGTGAAATGCAGGTGATACCAGACCTGCCTTCCAAGTAATTGTGAAAATGAAATGAGGTCACAATGCCAAACACAGGAAGCAGAGTGTCTTGGTTACTTTTCTCTCATTGCTGAGACAAAATGCCTGGCACCCGGAATTAAGGAGGGAAAAGTTTATTTAGCTCACAGTCTCTGGAGGTTTCAGTCCATACTTGGCTGGCTCCAAGACAGGGTGGCACATGGCAGAGGGATACCATTCATGGTGGCAGAAGATAGCCAAAGCAGCAAGAGCAAAAGGGAGGAGCAATGGCAAACAGCCTCTTTCCCTCCCTTACATTGTATGCAAACAATCTGCTCCAGGGGGCTGTAGCACTCACACCCATAATCCCAGCACCGGACTATGAATCAATCAAAAATCTAAAAGAAAGCCCACCCCATGACTGCATGAGGATTTGGGGGGACATGCAGACACAAACCATAGCATTCCACTCCTGACTCCCCAAAGACTCATGCACATCCCTTTA